GGGGGGGGGGGGGTACGTCAGAAATTTGAAAGTTTTGTCGGAAATTTAGGAGGCTTTGCCCCCCCCCCCACCGGAAAAAGTGAATTTCCGCCACTGTGGGTGAAGCTGTTTCTGTCCTGTAAAAGACCAAGAAGAAGATTATTCAAAATCCAACATAACACCCCATACATCCACATGCTTGTGTACCATGTACCAAGGCAGTTATCTGATGAAAATGGTGTTAAAATCTTCACTGGCCAAGGCATTGAGAAGACAAACGATGTAGTGTGTGCTATGTATCACAGAAACATTTATTCGCACGATGCATCCAAAGACTCACTTCTGGCACTTAAACACCTGGGTATTCTTCAAGAATATGAAAAGATGTCAAATAGCTACACGAAACGTGACAATATTGGACAGAAAGAATTTTCCAGGAAAGGAGGAAGTGTGCATGTCTAAGCAGACCATTGTAAGTTATAAATTATCACTTGATTAAGGGAGTTAAAGATGCTATAAATCTGTAATGTGAACAAATGGTTTGTTTACATTTTGAACTGCTATATTTGCAAAAACATATGATATGCATGTGTGATGTTACTCTGAGTGTATATCCACACCGGGCAGGCTTGCAAAATATGCCTGGCCACGGTTGGAATCAAACCTACGACCTTTGGAGCCCAATGCTCTGCCAACTGAGCTACGCGGTCAGGTTGGTTGGCAGTCATACTCGAACCGACCTGACCGTGTAGCTCAGTTGGCAGAGCATTGGGCTAGTGTTCCAAAGGTCATAGGTTCGATTCCCACCGTGGCCAGGCATATTTTTCAAGCCTGCCCGGTGTGGATATACACTCAGAGTAACATCACACAAGCATCTTATTCACCTGAGTACATTACACCAACACAGCAAATAACATGTGATATATTACCTGCATATATAACACTGTTCTGGTTTGCTATGCTTGTAAATAAATTAATAATATACATAGAAATATTACTCGACTGTGATTGGTTGGTTTCAGTGCATTTAATCCCAAACAGCAGTGCAAAAATCTGTAACAAACTGATCTGATTGGTGAAAAAACATTGTGATGATAAAATCAACCAATCAGTTTAAAGCAGTTTAGTTTAAAGAAGTAAACGGTCACAGATTGCTTCAAAACAAAACAAACATGGTGCCGCGTGGAAAATATGGCTTTTATCTTTATTTTTAAATGGAAAAGCATTTACCTTAAACAAGACTAACAAAAATTACATAGTTGAGTGGAATTTTCAAGCTGTTAGCGTTGTATAATGTGATATAACAAAGCCAGGAAAACTTTGCCAGTGGAATGTTTGCTATAAACGTGTAAGTTAAAACTACAATTGTCTCGAACATTTTTATGTAAATTATTAATAAGTAATAGCATGGTTTCTCATGAAATTTGAATAAACATGCACTGTGAGTTTTTCAAAGACCTCAAATAGCACTCGTCCTTCGGACTCGTGTTATTTTGAGGTTTTTGAAAAACTCACTTGTGCATGTTATATCCAAATTGAACTCGAAACCATGCTATACATAAACTAGAGTTTTAATTCAGAAAAAGTTTAAATATGCAAAATTTGGGCAATGTTTATATTTTTTTGTTATGAGCAGAACCAATCCGTAGAACAGACTTTACAGCGTCTTTAAATGGTTCAAGATAAAACGTGTCCGGCCAGGACAAATACATTGCAATTTACGAAATATTTAATTGATTCTATATCTAAAGCCATGTTCACACCACAGATTAGGTTCAGCTAAAATGTGTGTGTTTGTACCATCTTGGGGAGAACATGTTATAAGAGAATGATTTAAAGGCTAGGTAATTGTAAAACCTGTTCACATCTATGTGTAGGTCCAAGCCAGGTCTGGGCTGGTGTACCGGTCTGAGATTGTCCTCATGCTGAGATTGTTATAGTACCACTGCACATGCTCCAAGTGCAGCATGCAATCTCAGCATGTGGTACCTTTCTTTGTTGTGCTGAAATATTTTAATATCCTTTCCACATAAGTTTTATGTGATCTTTTAAGAGTTTAGGAAAAATTGTATAAATTTTAGAGCCAAATTTATCGATTAGCCCAGGGCATCATGCTGAATTTGTTGTGCCACCAGAATCAGCTGAGATTGTCAAAATATTTATCCTGAATTTATGTCTGGTGTTTAATATGCACTCAGGTGTAGATATATGTTTGTGGCCGCACTCAGAGTAAAATCACAAGCATATATTTATCCTTTCCAAATAAATTATAAGAATTTACGGAAATTGTATAAATTTTAGGGTCAAATATTTCAAATCTTAGCAGAATTTAGCCTTATAGGACATTGTGCTGAAAATGCTGTGCTGAATTTGTTGCGCTGAACTATCATTAATATCCTTTGCACATAGGTTTTATGTGATCTTTTAAGAGTTTAGGAGAAATTGTCTAAATTTTAGAGCCAAATTTATCGATTAGCCAAGGGCATCGTGCTGAAATTAGGACATCGTGCTGAAAATGTCAAATTTAGGACATCGACATCATGCTGAAACTGTCGTGCTGAAAATGCCGTGCTGTATTTGTTGTACTGAGTCTGGGATTGGCAGATTACAGAAATATTTATCCTTTTCAAATTAATTTTAAAAGTTTATGAAAGTTGAATTTAGGTCATCATGCTGAAAATGTCGTGCTGAGTGAATTTGTTGTGCTTGAAATATTTGTCCTTTCCAAATAATAATATATCTGTTTACAAGAATTGTAAATAGATTATGCGAACTACAGTCTACAGGCATACTTTGAATAAATTACTCACAACAGCAAGGTGAAAAACATAGTCAATATATTCTTTGGTAATTCTTCTATAGCTGTAAATCTAATATATACATTTTATACACCAATAATCAACTGAACATACGTCACTAGTATTCACTCTTCGTCACCAGTAATTCTTTCTATTTACAGTTTTTACAAAAGAAACATGTATTCTTTTTAACAACTCTTGGTACTCTTTCACAACACGATGAAACCAATCCAGGCACTTGTCACACTGAACCATAAAAATGTTCTCTCTGTATGGTTGTCTGCAATGGCAATATATGTCAATCTCTTCGCTGCTGTGGTAAAGTTGGTGATTTCGACTGGTATTGGACATTGGGAAAGACGATATCACACCAGCTTCAATGCACTTCACCAGATGTCCAGGCATTTCATCTTGCCAGTCACAATCTTCCGGTAAGCCACCACAGCACAGACTGGTTGCAACTGCAAGGGCAAACAAGCCACAGTTGGATGTCCCTTCTTGCTTCTGCATGTCTGCCCACAATAATGTAATGTGTTTAGACGCAGGCATAAGCATGTAGGCAATTTGCTTCAAAACTTTTTGCTTACACGAGGCATTAATGTTATTGTACAAAGAGTCATAAATGACAACTGAGTCCTTTGGGCAGCCGACATTACTAATTGCTGTGCAGCGAGCGAGCCTGAAGCGAGTGAGCGTGACAGCAGTCGAATATGTGCAGAGAGAGGGTTTTGAACTAAATTTTATTTAGCACATGGAATTGTGGTCGTGTGAGCTTTCTATGCGCAGAACACAAATTTTAAACTCGCACAAGTCTTCGAATTTTTATTGAATTTCTAAAGCTTTTTCAAGTCTAATGTTACGCTTACATTTGTTTTGGACTTTGGCCACTGTCAGTTCTATATTTTTATGAAGTTTTGGTTTCTTAGTGTGATAAATGAGCTTGTGGTAAATGTGCCTAGCAGTAAACAGACTTGATATGAAATCTGATCTTAATTCACCTGTATGTCAATGAGATGCACATGTTTAATATCTGTCACCTCTGATTGCCCTTTAACCCCTGGTCTTTGCTACTTCAATATATATTGCTTCTTCTCAGTTCTATTCACAGCTCACTAGTCGCTGCGAGTGATCACTGTGCTTGATATAATTTGTGGTGTTTACTGTAGTTCTATTCACTTTTAATGCCTGCAACAATATCTACCTTGCAGGTACCCTAGTTATTATCCAATGGTTACCACCAACATTTAAAGCTTGGACAAAACTCTGCTCAGGTGTACCATCTCACTGACAACCTTCGGGAGCAAATATGCAGACAACCTGCAAGCCACCAATATCAGGGATTGTTTTGCAAGCATAGCCTTGTGCATGGTCAATATGTTCATCTGATAACCATTCACCATTCTGAATGTCTGGGAGAAGTCGTGTATTGTTCTTCATCAGGTTTTCATTTTTGACAGGCACTGGCCCAACGAAATTTCTAGCTTTTGTATAACTCACAATTTTTATGTCTTCATCAATTTTGTTGGGAATGTTGGTAACACTGGCTTCGTGTTCCTTTAAGGACTTAACAGCAGAGGTGGGACTGTCTTGGGAATTATTTATTGGACAAGAAACAGCAGACTGATTGCTGGAAACATCATTCTTTTTCATAGTCCAAAATCTTCAAATTATTACTCGCTGGGGCACCTGTGCCCAGGCAAGTATAGGTTTCGGCATGCATTTGTCACAGATCATGGATAGTGGATCTCCAATCATCGATATTGTCACAAAATAAAATATTAATTAGCTGCCTAATTTCCCCCCCCCCCCAATTATCCATAAATACCCTGCATTTTGAGGAAAATTTGGGAAAATTGAACAATTTTACAAAGAATTTCAACATGGAAACAGCAACCTTCGCAAATCGCAAATTACGTTTGGCTGCGCTGCTTTATATTTTGAGAAGAAAGCGATCTTTTGATTCTTTTCAACGATGCTTATGGTAAGTGAATGTGATTTAATTTCAAATACGCTCACCTCACATGCACCTATTCGTGGTAGACCTACACTAAAAGATGCTGAACAATTTCCAAAAAGTTGCCAAAAATATTATAAAAAGTGAACAAAAATGTGACAACAGTACTACCGAAATGACGAATAATACAGACAAATTTACAAAAAACAAATGTAAACTCGCAATCAAGTTGCTGTCCTGTCAACGAGCACATGGTCAACATGGCCGCCAGTAGAAAGGCTGCAAAGAACTTAGACAATGCGATATCGTCTGAACAGACAACAATCAAGAATTTCTCAACACTTAATGGGTTAACATTAAATCGTCATATAGTTCATGCAAAGTGCAAACAAACAATCTTATCTATACGCGGTCTCTATATCGATGAGCTTATTGTAGTTCTGTGGCAAATCCAATGAAATATGTTTATATATTCACACACTAAGTATTTTTATATTCAACTAAGACCTGGAACCTTATTTTTCTTATATACTGTAATTCTTCATTTCTTTATTTTGTAGAAAAATGTTCAACACAACACTATATACAACGAAATATGTTTGACTATTAATTGAAATGATGAATGATGATATGTTTACAATGGAATTGCTGATGCTAAATATTTATTTTGTCACTAACTTCATTGTGGTGTCTCCACCATTTCAATCACGGGCCAGAATGGATGCTATGAATTGTTCGTGAATTTGTACGCTATTCAATTAATATTGCTATTAAAGTGGATTTTTTTATTTCATAAGTTCCTTGAAATACAACTGTTAATTCTTCGAGGACAAGACTAAAGTTTATTGATTGTCCCTCATTATTGGTTAAGTTTATTGATTGTCCCTCAGTTTATTGATTGTCCCTCATTATTATTTAATCCTAATTCTGAAACTTAGAATGTTCGGATGTTCTCCATTAGTATTGAAATGGTTTACGTCATATCTTAGTGATCGTTATCAACACACTTATTTCAAAAACACATTATCTGATATGCGTCCTGTTAAGATAGGTGTTCCTCAAGGAAGTATTCTTGGCCCCCTTCTTTTTATCTTATTTATCAATGATCTCCCTTCTCAACTTTTACATTCAGAATCCACAATGTTTGCAGATGACACCATCGTTCTAACAGAAGGTTCTTCCATTCATGATTTAAATGTGAAACTTAACCTTGTTGCTCAAGATCTCTCAACATGGACTCAACAAAACCGAATGGTGACTAATACATTGAAAACCAAGACCATGCTCATTCATTCTCCCCAACAACTTAAGAATACTTCAGA